AAGTTCTGGAGTTCCCCCATCCAGGCTGGAGCAACCTGGGATGGTGGAAGGTGTTGGGGTTGGAATTGGATGGTCTTATAGGTCTTCCAACCTAAAATATGTGACTTTTAGGACCATCCAATGCAGGGGTGTTGAGCAGGGTCTGCAAATGCTCAGATTTGCCCCCAAGAACTCTCTGCCTTCAGGGGAAGAAGTCCCTTCCAACCCCAAATGTGTGTTTCTGTGACTTTTAGGACCATCCAATGCAGGGGTGTTGAACAAGGTCTAGATTTGCCCCCAAGAACTCTCTGCCTCCAAGGGAAGAAGTTCCAGAGTTCCCCCATCCAGGCTGGAGCAACCTGGGATGGTGGAAGGTGTTGGGGTTGGAACTGGACGGTCTTTAAGGTCTCTTCCAACCCAAAATATGTGTTTCTGTGACTTTTAGGATCATCCAGGCTGGAGCAACCCGGGATGGTGGAAGGTGTTGGGGTTGGAACTGGATGATCTTTAAGGACCCTTCCAACCCCAAAATATGTGATTTTTAGGACCATCCAATGCAGAGCTGTTGAGCAGGTGTTGAGGGTCTGCAAATGCTCATTTTTGCTCCCAAGAACTCTCTGCCTTCAGGGGAAGAAGTTCTGGATTTCCCCCATCCAGGCTGGAGCAACCTGGGATGGTGGAAGGTGTTGGGGTTGGAATTTGATGGTCTTATAGGTCTTCCAACCTAAAATATGTGACTTTTAGGACCATCCAATGCAGGGGTGTTGAACAGGGTCTGCAAATGCTCATTTTTGCCCCCAAGAACTCTCTGCCTTCAGGGGAAGAAGCTCTGGAGTTCCCCCATCCAGGCTGGAGCAACCTGGGATGGTGGAAGGTGTCAGGGTTGGAACTGGACGACCTTTAAGGTCCCTTCCAACCCAAAATGTGTGTTTCTGTGACTTTTAGGACCATCCAATGCAGGGGTGTTGAACAGGGTCTAGATTTGCCCCCAAGAACTCTCTGCCTCCAAGGGAAGAAGTTCCAGAGTTCCCCCATCCAGGCTGGAGCAACCTGGGATGGTGGAAGGTGCTGGGGTTGGAACTGGACGACCTTTAAGGTCCCTTCCAACCCCAAAATGTGTGTTTCTGTGACTTTTAGGATCATCCAGGCTGGAGCAAGCCGGGCTGGTGGAAGGTGTTGGGGTTGGAACTGGATCATCTTTAAGGTCCCTTCCAACCCAACCCATTCCACGACTCCGAGACGCCCGGGATCAAACCGGACTGAGAACCAGGAGAGCCAATTCCCAGGCTTTTCCCCTCACTTACTCTCGTAGTACTCGAAGCACTTGGCCGTGGGGCTGCTGCTCCAGGTGTAATCCGAGGGCTTCTTGCCCCGGTTGTCCCTGGCGTAGATGTTCCCCCCGAACTCCACCAGCATCTCCACCAGGTCCACGTTCTTCACCTTGGCCGCGTGGTGAAGGGCCGTCTCGTGCAGCTTGGCCGCGTTCACGTTGGCCCCTGAGGAGAGAAAACCATCCCAAATCCATGTGGGAATCCCTCCCTCGACCCAAACACCGGGAGCGGTGGGACCGGGGTGAAAAAACGGCGTTAAAAAAACGCACAAAAAGCTGGGAAAGATCCCAAAAAAACACCCAAAAACCGGCACAAACAGGGAAGGTTTGGGAAGGTTTGGGAAGGTTTGGGAAGGGAAGGTTTGGGAAGGGAAGGTTTGGGAAGGGAAGGTTTGGGAAGGGAAGGGAAGGTTTGGGAAGGTTTGGGAAGGTTTGGGAAGGGAAGGTTTGGGAAGGTTTGGGAAGGTTTGGGAAGATTTGGGAAGGAGGTTTGGGAAGGGAAGGTTTGGGAAGGTTTGGGCAGGTTGGGAAGGGAAGGTTTGGGAAGTTTTGGGAAGGTTTGGGAAGGTTTGGGAATGTTTGGGAAGGGAAGGGAAGGGAATGGAAGGGAAGGGAAGGGAAGGGAAGGGAAGGGAAGGGAAGGGAAGGGAAGGGAAGGGAAGGGAAGGGAAGGGAAGGGAAGGGAAGGGAAGGGAAGGGAAGGGAATATGGGTTGGCAGTTGGAATAGAGATCTGGGACTGAGGAGCAACTCAGCAAGAAAAAACACCGGGTTTCAAGAAAATTGCCGAGCGAGTTCTCGGTGCTGGAAAAATCGTGTGTTTTCCTCTCTGGATTTATGTTTTCCTCAGACAGAGGGGGATTTCAGTCCCTGGTATTTGGGGAAATGAGGTCATAACTGCTTCCTGGATCCAAAGAGCCATTCCCAGTCATCTCCACGGAACATTCCCACTCAAGACAGTGAGAACTTCGTTGGTTATTTCGACAGAAACACCCCCAGATCCAGGAGCTGTTCCAGCTCCACCAGCCAGGTTTAGTTATGGATATTTTTGCCAAGGAAGTTTGTTTTTTGTAAGTTTACGGCAAGAAGTCCTTCTCTACCCCCAAAACAGCCGGAATTTGACCAGCAGAGGTGAGAGAGAGACCACACTGAACTCCAACAATTCCCTTTTGGGAATGTGTGGCCACACTGGACTTCTTCAGAATTCATGAGGAGAAACCGGAATTTCTTGGGAATCAATTAATGGGGAACTGGAGTGGGTGGAACTAAACTGGCTTAGGTGTGTAATTTTTAGATAATTGTTATTCAATTAGATAAATCCCCAGCCCTGGGCCAAACCTCCTCCTGGAAGCACAGGGAAAGACAGGAAGTTTGACCCAAATTCCCCCCAGAATGAGAAGAAAACTGGGATGTGAAGCCTGGAGGCAAATGTTGGGACTTGAACATCCAGCAAAGTCATCTGGGCTTAACACCCAGCTGTGTGTTCTGAATGAGCTCTGAATTGTTCCATTTAGAGGTTGGGAATCAGGGAATCATGGAATGGTTTGGGTCGGAAGGGACCTTAAAGGTCACCCAGTTCCAACCCCGAGACCTTCCACTATCCCAGGTTGCTCCAAACCCCGTCCACAACCTGGCCTTGGACACATCCAGGGATGGAGCATCCCACTGGGAGATGGGTATTTATGGAACAGGCCAAAACAACGTTTGAACACCAAGTTTTGCTCCGTGAAGCCCAAAACTTTCACCTCGACCATCTCTATCCCGGCAGGAATTCCGCCGAGGAGCCGCTTCCCACGGACACCACCGCGCCCTGCCCACCCACAGGGACCCCTGTGGGTGCCATACCTGCCTTGAGCAGCAGCTTGGCACAGTCCAGGTGTTCCCTGGCACAGGCCACGTGCAGGGGAGTCCCGAAGTGACAGTCGTGAGCCTCCAGGTTGGCGCCGACGTCGATGAGGAGCTGGACACACTCGGGGCTGCCTTTGGGAAGGGAAGAGCCCAGTCAGAAGCCAAGAATCCAGCTCAGATCCCAGAATCAGAGAATCCCAGAATCAGCTGGGTTGGAAAAGCCCTCTGAGATCATCCAGCCCAACCCTTGATCCAACCCCGCCGTGGTTCCCAGCCCATGGCACTGATGCCACATCCAGTCTGTCCTTAAACACCTCCAGGGATGGAGAATCCCCCACTTCCCTGGGCAGCCCATTCCAATGGCTGAGCACTCTCCATGGAAAACATTCCTTCCTGATGTCCAGCCTGACTCTGCCCTGGCACAGCTTGAGGCCGAGCCCTCTTGTCCTACTGCTGGTTCCCTGGAGCAGAGCCCGACCCCCCCCGGCTCCCCCCTCCTGGCAGGGAGTTGCAGAGAGTGAGGAGGTCTCCCCTGAGCCTCCTCCTCTCCAGGCTGAGCCCCCCCAGCTCCCTCAGCCTCTCCTCCCAGCTCTTGGGCTCCAGTCCCTTCCCCAGCCTCGCTGCTCTTCTCTGCCCCTGCTCCAGCCCCTCCAGGGCCTTCCTGAGCTCAGGGCCCAGAGCTGGACACAGCCCTCCAGGGGTGGCCTCCCCAGCGCCCAGCCCAGGGGCACAAGCCCTGCCCTGCTCCTGCTGCCACACTCTTCCTCAGCCAGCCCAGCAGCCCTTGGCCCTCTTGCCCCCCTGGCCACCCTCGGGCTCCTCTTCAGCTCCCTGCCCAGCCCAACTCCCAGCTCCCTTCCTGCCTGGCTGCTCTCCAGCCCCTCTGGCCCAGCCTGCAGCTGCAGGGGCTTCTTGTGGCCAAAGGGCAGGACCCGGCCCTTGGCCTTGGGGAACCTCAGCCCCTTGCAATCAGCCCCTGGATCCAGCCTGGCCAGGGCCCTCTGCAGAGCCCTCCTGCCTTCCAGCACATCAACACTCCCCCAGCTTGGGGGCACCTGGAATGTGCTGATGGTTCCCTCCATCCCCTCCTCTAAATCCTCAATAAAGACATTAAACAGGACGGGGCCCAGCACTGATCCCTGGGGACACCCCTGGGGACGGATCCCAGCTGGAAGCAGCTCCATCCCCACCACTCTCTGGGCCCTCAGCCAGTTCCTCACCCAGCCCAGATTGGTGTTTGGGGCCATGGTTGTGACCTGGGAAGGCTCCTGAGCCAACACAACACGAGCAGGACACAAGGAATGGAGCGGCCGGGCTGGAGCCAACAGGGAATCAGGTCAAACGACCCCAAATCCAAGGATTTGCACCAAATCCCCTTTTGTTTCTGGAGCTGCTGTGCTGCTGATCCTGCCCTGGGTGGGTTTGATCACCTTCAAGGCCATTCCAGCTTTGTTTTTTCCAGTGGTGATAATTCAGCTTAACAAAAAGCAGGGAATTATCACCGAGCCTCGGGAAAAGGCTTAACGAGGAAAAGCTCCACAGGAGCTCCCAGGTGTGGATTTAACAACCAACTGATTGTCCAAAATGCTCCAGAATTGAAGGAAAACTGTGTCCAGATCACGGTAGATCACAAAAATACGAAACAGGAAGAATTACATTTTACTGAGGGGAAAGTGAGGCACAAAATGGTGAACGAGGAAGAGATTTGGCAACAATTATCCAACGTGGACATTGCTGCTCCCACATCCAGGTTTTCCTGCTGCTCTGTCTGTGCAGGTGGAAGATTGAAGGATGAATTATGATTAAATTAGTAAAGGTAATTAGTAAATTCTTGCCTGTGAGGGTGGGGAGGGACTGGAATGGATCTCCCAGAGAAGCTGTGGCTGCTCCTGGATCCCTGGGAGTGTCCAAGGCCAGGTTGGAGCAACCTGGGATAGTGGAAGGTGTCCCTGCCCATGGCAGGGGTGGCACTGGATGGGCTTTAAGGTCCTTTCCAGCCCAAACCATCCTGGGATTCCATGATCCTATGGTTAAATCCTCCTCTGATCCAAATATCCCAAAAAGGATCAAGCAGAGGCCGAGGGAAGCACAGAGGAGCCGGGTTTGTCCCAAACATCATTTTGGCCCCTGCTGTTTTCCCTTATTCCCTAGACAGACCCCCCCCCCGGCTGGAAAAGGCTGGGAGAAGGACAAAGGAGCAGCACAGGGAGCAGCAGCATTCCCAACAATCCCTGGCACTTGTTCCCACCCAACAACCCCCAGCAGGAGGGGTCTGAACAACAACTGAAGGTCCTTGGTGCTGCTTTTTTTTGCTCCTCCAAGCCCCAAATAAACATGGAGAGACAAATCCCGATGGATTTACCATTCATGCAGGCTTCATGGAGAGGGGAGGCCGTGTAGAGGGGGGGGTTCACCTTGGCACCGTGGGACAGCAGCACCTTGACACACTCGATGCTCCCCGAGGCACAGGCGTCGCACAGGGGGGTGCTGCCGTCGATGTTCCTGGCGTCCACCTGCAGGGAAATCACGGAATCCTGGGATTAGCCGGCTTGGGAGAGCGTTCAAGGGCACCAACTGAAGCAGCACTGCCACTGGATCGTGTCCTCAGGCGCCACATCCACACCTGGTGCCCGTGGAACACAAAGGAGCAGCTTCTAACAACTTCTAACTTCTAACCAACTTCTAACCAACTTCTAACAACTTCTAACTCCTGGAGCAGTCACCAAGAGCACCAAATTCCCCCCAGATGTGAGGATCATGGAATTACTAAGGTTGGAAAAGGCCTCTGAGGTCCTTGAGACCAAGAGTTAACCCGGCCCTGCAAAGACCAGCCCCTGTCCCCAAGTGCCACATCCACACCTTGCCTGAACACTTCCAGGGATGGGGATTCCACCACAGCCTGGGCAGCCCCTTCCAAGGCCTGACCACCCTTTCCATGAGGAAATCTTTCCTGATACCCAACCTGAAATTGTCCTGCAGGTCCCACAACTTCTTCTGGAATCAGGGAATCATTTGGGTTGGAAAAGCCCTCTGAGATCATGGAGTCCAACCAGCCCCAGCAGTGCCAAGGCCACCACTGACCATGTCCCCAAGTGCCACATCCACAGGGATTTTAAACCCCTCCAGGAATGGGGACTCCACCACCTCCCTGGGCAGCCCCTTCCAAGGCCTGACCACCCTTTCCATGAGGATATCTTCCCCGATACCCAACCTGAATTGTCCTGCAGGTCCCACAACTTCTTCTGGAATCAGGGAATCATTTGGGTTGGATGATCTGAGATCATGGAGTCAAACAATCCCCAGCAGTTCCGAGGCCACCACTGACCATGTCCCCAGGTGCCACATCCCCAGGGATTTTAAACCCCTCCAGGAATGGGGACTCCACCACCTCCCTGGGCAGCCCCTGCCAAGGCCTGACCACCCTTTCCATGAGGAAATCTTCCCTGATACCCAACCTGAAATTGTCCTGCAGGTCCCACAACTTCTTCTGGAATCAGGGAATCATTTGGGTTGGATGATCTGAGATCATGGAGTCAAACAATCCCCAGCAGTTCCGAGGCCACCACTGACCCACGTCCCCAGGTGCCACATCCCCAGGGATTTTAAACCCCTCCAGGGATGGGGACTCCAGGCTGTTCCAATGATCCAGCCTGGCCAGGTCCCTCTGCAGAGCCCTCCTGCCTTCCAGCACATCAACACTCCCCCAGCTTGGGGTCACCTGGAATGTGCTGATGGTTCCCTCCATCCCCTCATCTAAATCATCAATAAAGACACTGAACAGAACTGGGCCCAGCACTGATCCCTGGGGACACCACCAGTGACCGGCCGCCAACCGGCCGCAGCGTCATTTCACTCCAATCCACCCCAAGGGAATTATGGATAAGGACCTGGGTTACCCCCCCTGCCCTTTTCCTGGGGAACGGAAAGGCCCCGAGGAGAAGCTCCCTGACCTGTGCCCCCGCATCCAGCAGCAGTTTGACACACTGGGTCTGTCCCCGCAGGCTGGCCTCGTGCAGGGGCGTGATGGAGTCGTAGGTGACGGCGTTGACGCAGGCCCCGCTCTCGATGAGCTGCTGCAGCTGCAGGATCTCCCCGCGCCGCGCCGCCTCGTGCACCGGGGTGCGGTCGGCCCAGAAGCCTGCAGAGGGAAGGGAGGCGTGGGTCAGGGAAGGAAGGAACCTGGAGGTGGAGAGGAAATGGGGGTGCCCCGCAGAGCGGGAAGGAACTGCTGGATGGGAGGGCTGGAGAGGTTCTGGTACGGGTTGGGGAGGTCCTGGCACGGGTTGGGGAGGTCCTGGCAGGGGTTGGGGAGGTCCTGGTACGGGTTGGGGAGGTCCTGGTACGGGTTGGGGAGGTTCTGGCACGGGTTGGGGAGGTCCTGGCAGGGGTTGGGGAGGTCCTGGTATGGGTTGGGGAGGTCCTGGTACGGGTTGGGGAGGTCCTGGTATGGGTTGGGGAGGTCCTGGTACAGGTTGGGGAGGTCCTTGCAAGGGTTACACCCTGAGGTTTTGTGGTTGCCCCTGGAAGTGTCCAAGGCCAGGTTGGAACAACCTGGGATAGTGGGAGGTGTCCATGGGGGTTGGAACTGGATGGGCTTCGAGGTGCCTTCCCACCCTAACCATTCCAAGGAAAGGAAAGGAAAGGAAAGAAGGAAAGGGAAAGAAGGAAAAGAAAAAGGGAAGGGGAGGAAGAGGGAAAGGGAAAGGAAGAGGAAGAGGAAGAGGAAGAGGAAGAGGAAGAGGAAGAGGAAGAGGAAGAGGAAGAGGAAGAGGAAGAGGAAGAGGAAGAGGAAGAGGAAGGGGAAGGGGAAGGGGAAGGGGAAGGGGAAGAGGAAGAGGAAGAGGAAGAGGAAGAGGAAGAGGAAGAGGAAGAGGAAGAGGAAGAGGAAGAGGAAGAGGAAGAGGAAGAGGAAGAGGACACGGGCCGGCAGTTGGAAGAGAGAGCTGGGACTGAGGAGCAACTCAGCAAGAAAAAACACATCCCCTCCATAAAAATCAGGGGAATCATGAATCCCAAATTTTGGACAGCACAGAGTCTGTGCAGGTTTTGTTATTGGCTCGTTAGATCCTCATTCCCTCTGCCAATATCCCTGGGCAGGATGTTTTTCCTTCCCTGGAGCTCCCTGGGGTTTATGTCAGGAGAAACAAGAAGTTCAAACGAGCACGGAGACCTTGGAACCCCTGGCAGGGCCTAAAGGGGCTCCAGGAGAGCTGGAGAGGGACTGGGGACAAGGGATGGAGGGACAGGACACAGGGAATGGCTTCCCAGTGCCAGAGGGCAGAGATAGATGGGATATTGGGAAGGAATTGCTGGCTGGGAGGGTGGGGAGGGGCTGGGATGGATTTCCCAGAGAAGCTGTGGCTGCCCCTGGATCCCTGGAAGTGTCCAAGGCCGGGTTGGAGCAACGTGGGATAGTGGGAGGTGTTGGGGCCAGAATTTCTGGGGCCAGAATTCCTAAATCTGCACCCAGAATTCCTAAATCTGGGGTCAGAATTCCTAAATCTGGGGTCAGAATTCCTAAATCTGCGGCCAGAATTCCTAAATCTGCAGCTCAAGGCTTCCCTGGGAAGCAGGGCTGGCTCCTGATGCAATCAGGGAGCATCCAGGGAACATCCCTGCCTCGGGAATCAGCTGCAGCACAGGGACAGGGATCAGCCCTCTGGAGGTGACCCGCTGGCACAGGCAGGATTTTGGGATTCTTCCCGTCTCCTTCCAAGGTTGGAACCACCCTCTCTCTCCCCCAGCTCCCCAGCAGGGATCCCACACGATAATTTATGGAGGAACGGGGATGATTCCCCGTGTCCAGCTCTCCCAAGAGCTCATCCCCTTATCCCGTGCCTTGGGAGAGGCCACTTGCTTCCTAAACGGTCCTGCCCACCCCAAAACTGTCCTGCCCACCCCAAAACCACCCTGTCACCCCCAAAACTGTCCTGTCACCCCCAAAACAATCCTGAAAACCCCCAAAACCACCCTGTCACTCCCAAAAATGTCCTGCAACCCCCAAAACTACCCTGTCACCCCTAAAACCACCCTGTCATCCCCAATCCATCCTGACCTCCCAAAAACCATCCTGTAACCTCCAAAACTACCCTGCAACCCCCCAAAACCATCCTGCAACCCACAAAACCACCCTGTCACCCCCAAAACTGTCCTGCAATCCCCAAAACCACCCTGTCACCCCCAAAACTGTCCTGCAATCCCCAAAACAGTCCTGCAGCCCTCCAAACTGTCCTGCAACCCCCAAAACCACCCTGTCACCCCAAAACCATCCTGCCACCCCTAAAACCACCCTGTCACCTCCAAAACTGCTCTGTCACCCTCCAAACCATCTTGTAACCAAACTGTCCTGCAACCCCCCAAACCATCCTGTCACTCCCTCAAAACCACCCTGTCACCCCCAATCCCACCCTGTCATTCCCAATCCATTCTGACCTCCCCAAAGCCACTCTGCAACCCCCAAACCCACCCTGTCACCTCTAAAATCACCCTGTCACCCCCACAACCGTCCTGTCACCCCCAAGACCGTCCTGCAACCCCCAACACCACCCTGCCCATCCCAAAACCTTCCTGCCCACCCCAAAACCGTCCTGCAACCCCCAAGACCATCCTGTCACCTCCAAACCCGCCCTGTCACCCCCAAAACCTTTCTGCCCACCCTAAAACCGTCCTGCAACCCCCAACACCGTCCTGTCACCTCCAAACCCGCCCTGTCACCCCCAAAACCGTCCTGCAACCCCCAACACCGTCCTGTCACCTCCAAACCCGCCCTGTCACCCCCAAAACCTTCCTGCCCACCCCAAAACCGTCCTGCAACCCCCAAAACCACCCTGTCACCTCCAAACCCGCCCTGTCACCCCCAAAACCTTCCTACAACCCCCAACACCATCCTGCCCATCCCAACACCGTCCTGCCACCCCCAAAACCGTCCTGCAACCCCCAAAACCGTCCTGCCCACCCCAAAAACGTCCCGCAACCCCCAAAACCACCCTGTCACCTCCAAAGCCACCCTGTCACCCCTCAGTGCACCCTGCCCTGCCCCAAACCACGCCGCTGTCCGCAGCCCCCGTCCCTTCCCAGCTCAATCCCCAGCTCCCTTCCCGGCTCCCCTCCCATCCCACGCCACCCCCCTGGCCCCACGCACTGATCTCTCCCCTCAGGGAGCCGCTGCTGACGGGGCTCTCCATGGCCGGGCCCGCCGGGAGCCGCCGGCTCCGGCCTCGTCCCGCTCCGCCCTCTCGGCCCCTCACGGCCCGCGGGGCTCCGCCCGCTCCCTCACGGCTCCTCCTGCCCCCGCACGGCCCCGGCCGCGGAGCACAGCGGGAGCTGTAGTGCCCGGGGAGCCCGGGAATGGCGCGGGGGGACAGGGGATGGGGGCACTGCAGGGTGTGTGGGGAGGGGGAACGGGAGGTCTGGTGTGGTGGGGGGACTGGGGGCACTGGAGTGTGTGGGGAGAGGTAATGGCGGCACTGGAGTGTGTGGGGAGAGGGACTGGGGGCACTGGAGTGTGTGGGGAGAGGGACTGGGAGCACTGGAGTGTGGGGGGAGAGGGACTGGGAGCACTGGAATGTGTGGGGAGAGGGACTGGTATGGGGGGAGAGGGATGGTATGTGGGAGGAGGGACTGGAAGCACTGGGCGTCGTGGGGATAGGGACTGGGAGCCACTGGGCTTTAAGGGGGTGGTAGGTAGGGTAATGGGGGCACTGGGGGTTGTGGAGTTAGCTTTGGGGGAGGGGACCTGTATGTGTGGGAGAGGGACTGGACGCACTGGTGTGTGTTGGGATAGGGACTGGGGGCACTGGAGTGTGTGGGGAGAGGGACTGGTATGGTGGGATAGGGACTGGGGGCACTGGTGTGTGTGGGGAGAGGGACTGGGGGCACTGGTGTGTGTGGGGAGAGGGACTGGGGGCACTGGAATGTGTGGGGAGAGGGACTGGGGGCACTGGAGTGTGTGGGGATCACGTAATGGGGGTACTGGGGGTGCTGGGGTGTGTGGGGAGAGGGACTGGTATGGTGGGAGAGGGACTGGAAGCACTGGTGTGTGTGGGGATAGGGACTGGGGGCACTGGAGTGTGTGGGGAGAGGGACTGGTATGGTGGGATAGGGACTGGGGGCACTGGTGTGTGTGGGGAGAGGGACTGGTATGGTGGGAGAGGGACTGGGAGCACTGGAGTGTGTGGGGAGAGGGACTGGGGGCACTGGAGTGTGTGGGGAGAGGG